CTGGCACTGGTGTGATGAGAACCACGATGTTTGTCACCATGCAGCAGCTCAGGAGCTTTTCCAGAGTCAGGGATCAAATCCCATCACTTCAGGCAGCAGGTCACTTTTTGGAAATGTGCCTTCAGCTCAGCCCTGCTGTGTGTCAGCAGCCAGCACAACTCAAGTTTGATTTTTTTTTTTTTTTTTTTTTTGCTCAGTTAATGTGACCTAAGCCAGCAGAACAGTGTGATCAGGGTGAGATAATTTCATTTTTCTGCTGGCAAATCCTGCTGGAACCTCCCCATCAGCAGCACTCAAGTTGGTGTTGTAAATGTTTTCAGTCAGAATTCCTGTTATTCTTGCACCTCAGGAATGATTCCAGGAGGGATGCCTGTGTTTACACACACTGCTGTAATGATTCCTTGATTTTTTTAAAGACTTTGCTTTCACACCAGAAATGGTTAAACCAGACAAAAAGATGGAACTTGTCATGTTTTTGGAAGCTTTTTTTTCCCAGTGCTTCTGCTCTGCTTTCACCTCAGAATTCCCTCTGCAGTTCCTCACTGGTTCATTCCTGTGTTTTTATAGTTTCAAGTGTGTTCCCTGTGTCGTGCCAGGTTTTAGGGCAGGGAATCCAAGGCTCTCCTGTGGTGAAGCTCATGGTTTGTAAGAGCTCCTTCCTGACCAGTCTGAAATGGTCTTTTCCATCCTGCTCAATTCTCAGTGCTTCTGGAGCTTTTAGCAGGATTGCTTTGTGTTTTGCACAGCAGAACTGTAAATTAAATTATTGATGTCGCTTCTCTAGTCAAACTCCAGGCATTTCCAAAAGGTGCAGTTACTCCAGGAGCTGCTTAAAACGAGAACTTTTCACTTTGTCTCTTGTTCCTCCTCACCAGCAGCTATCAGTGATGAGAAACATAACCCAAAACTGTGACAATTCCAGTTGCCACCACACTGACAGCACCTCAAAGCAGCAGAAAAAGAGATTTTTTTTTTTTTTACCCGATGCCAGCCAGGATGTTCAGTGCCATGGGTCCACTGTGGCTGCTCTCCGGAGCCCTGGGTGTCACCGTGCTGGAGCTGAGTGTGTGACACCCCCATTATTGGGTGTTTTTCACCAAAAAACCATTATTGCAGGGCTGAGGGAGTGCTCTGTGTTATTTATCACACACACAATTTGTCGGTTCAGGAGCTGAGCATCTCCTCCCATCAGCAGCAGGATCAGCTCCAGGCTTTTGTTCCTGCATCCCTTTGTTCCTCCTGTGTGACTCGGCAGGGAGAAATGCTCCTGGAATGTTGAAGTTTTGGGAATTTTGGGGAATTTGGAACTTTTTGTGCTGTCAAAAACTGCCTTCCACAACAGCACTGCTTTTAACTTGAGGCCTTGGGAAAGGCTTCCAAAATGGAATGAGAAAATTGAAATTACTGCTGTGTAATTAATAGTGTGTAATATCACAGAGTGAAGAGTTTGGAATTTGAGGTTTTAGAATGTAGTAATAAACTTACACCCTAAAACTTCTATTTTGTCTTCTCTTCCTTCTTGTTCTTTTTTTTCTTAAGTGCTATTTTTTAATTGGATAAAAAATGCTGCACTGTGGGTCACAGGTGTTTGGTCATTAAAAGTAAAAAGTAATTTAACTGCTGGTTTTTAATTGGATAGTAAGGCTTTAAAAGATTTTGAGACGAGCAAAACTTTATTTTTTCATTTTTAGTTTGTCAGTTAGAAGTGCTGTAGCACTCGCCATACTATAAATAAAAATTAACAAATCACTAAGTCCTAACACGAAATTCTGTTTTTCATGCAGTAATTTCAACTCTAACTAAAAAGAAAAAAAAATAAAATAAAAGCCTGTTTCCACATTCCCTAAGTGTGTTCAAAGTGGCTTTTGAAATAAAAATGATGCCTTGAGGAAGCTGCTGCCACTGCCTTTAGGCTTCAGCTCAGTCACTCCACGTGAAGAGCTTGGAAGTGACTTTTGGTGATTTTTGTGTGGTGTTTGTGAGGTCCCACTGAAAAAAGATTCCAGAGCCTTCTTAATGTCAGGAGAGGGGTGAGGGATGGTGCTTGTGAGTTTTATTTCTCAAGTCAGTTGTAATTAAAAAGTGTATGAGGAGTAAAAGTCTGAATCTGTGTGCAATGAGAGAATTTGGGATGTATTCCAAGGGGGATGCTACCTTTAAAATGAAATATTCAATTCTAATCTTTATTTCCTTTGCAAGGAACCTGTAGAGGTTGTTTTAATTTTTCATGTTAGGATGGTGTCAAGAGGACTGAGGATGCTCTAAAAGGTGGTGAAATGAGAAGAGGGAAATTAATAAAAGAGTTTGTCTGACACAAAAAGGGATGCCCCGACTTGGAGAAGTTAAAGCAGTTATAAAGGTGTGAAATGGAAGGTGAGAACTCAGTATATAAGAAGAAAGAGTGGAAAAAAAAAAACAGAAGGGAAGTGGGAATAAATGTTATTTTGTTAAGGTGACTCTTACAGGGTAGATATAACAAATATTTAATATCTGATGTATTTATTGGTAGGGGAAACGTGGACAAGGAAGTGTCTAAGTCTGGGAAAGGTGTTTGAAGGATGAAATAAATCATTGTTGGTTTGGCTAGGGTAGCCCCAAATGTTTGAGCAGTCCCAGTCTGAACTGACTGGGAGTTTCTGAGTTTGATTTTTGCTCCCTTGGCATTGAGTGATTTGTCTCTAATAATTCTGTGAGCTGCCCCTGTGACCTGGAGTTCTTCCAGCTTACCTCTGCCTTATTTCTGCATAAATCTGGGTCATTTTTTTTCATACCTGGTTTCCTCCTGTGCCACTCTGTGCACTCTTGGTGTGAGATTTGTTGTCTCAGCTGGGAATGGGGTGTTCTGGCACATCACCCATCCTCTCCTTTTCTCTTCATTTTTATTCTTCTCCTGCTCTCCCTGCCTGCCATGCTGGGAGTAACATTTCCAGATGCAGGGGATGAGTTCAGCTCCAGTAGGGCCAATCCTTCTGGAAGATTCCAGAGTGTGTTCCTGGCTGAAGCTGCTCCTCTGGAATTCTAAGGAGCATCCTGGACAGGGACTGCTCTGTCACCTTGGTTTCTGTAGGAGCTGACATCCAGTCAGGTCATACTCAAGTGCCATTAAAACCAGGCTTATCTGAAGTGGTTTTGGCTGCAAAAACTCTCTCAGGGCTCAGGGGTTGGCACTGAACATTTCCATGCCTGATTCTGAAATTAGAAGCTTAAAAATGCAAGGGGAGCTGTAAAATACTGCAGTAAAGTGGAAATAGTAATAATGTAAGATTTACACATTAATGAATAAATTATTAACAACATATTATTGCAATTTCCTTAAATGATGAACTATCTCCACGGGCAAACTGTTCTCTTCCTTTTTGTTCAAAAATATTTATTATTTTTTTTCAATACTGATGCATTGGTAAAATGGACAGGTTGGATCAGTGCTCTTGTTGCTCCATTCCAGAAATGCTGTGCCTGCAAATTAATGTTGGAAAAAGCTTGGTTTGTTCAGTGCTTGTCACAGTTACTTAGTCTGGGATTGACAGTAGTTATATGGGGAAAATGATTTGGTATTAAAATATGTTATCAGTCTAAATTCTCATTGAAAAGACACACAGGATGAGTAAAGAAATAAATATATTAATAATGATAGCAGATATTGAATCCAGCAAATGTTTTTGGTGCCACAGTTGTGAAGCAATAATTGTGTAGAGAAGTTGGGAGCCCATTTGGGTAGGGACCATTCCCAGTTCTGTTTCTTCATTCTCAGCAAGGAGGGAACCTCAGAAAACAATGTTTGCTTCATGGAGGGGGAATGGGAGCTGGGACATAAATGGTGCAGGTGATGGGGCTGTTTTGAGAGTTTCATTGTTGCTTTGGGAGGAAACTGAGGCAGATTTTTGAGGCTTTGTAGGATGCAGGAAGCATTTCTGTACAAAAGGGAAATTTATTCCTGAGTTTTAAGTCCTGTAGTGACACGTTTGCTTTGTTTAAAAGAAAGTGTTGGTGTTATCCTAAATCAACATGAGATTTCTGTGTAATACTCTGCCCAGGAAGATTTCCTTGTTGCAAGATCATTTTCAAGCCCGTGTTTAATTAAGTGGCTCACAAAAGTCTCTGGATTTCCCTGTCAGCCTTGCTTAGTTTATAATTATTGTAAGAACTGCCTGATTCTCGTGTCCTTGCTGCAGGACAATCTTTTCTCTTATTATCCCTCTCCAGAATTTGGCCATCCTGGCTAGAAATGGTAACTGGATTTTGGAGGTTGATCTCCAATTATTCAGTTTTATTGTGAAATTGCTGCATTGCTGCATCCTCAGCCGTAGAGATGAGCTAAAAATACCCCAAATAATTCAATATTGAGGATGTGCAGTGCTGGTGAATTCATCCATTCTGGCAATCTCAGACTGGGAAAGCCAAGTGTCCCCAGCTCTGGGTATTGGAGTGGAAACCTGCTGGGGTGAGTGACACCCCTGGGAAAGGCAGCAGAGAATTCCAGAATATGCACATTTCCACTGCCCTCAGTAGTCACATCAAGTGTACTGTAGAAAAGAGTGAAAGGGTGGTAAATTCGTGTATTTAAGCAATAATCTGGTGAAATCACAGCCAGCAAATGCTGAGTTTGAGATACCAAAACCAGTGCAAAGCAATGAGAGGGTCAGAGGAACACAAGGTGTGAGGAGAGGGGATCTGACCTACAGGGGAAGGGAATGGAGCTCCAGAAACACTCAAACAGCTACAGCAGTGTCAGAATAATTGGTTTTCTATGTCTGATGGTTGGGACAAGAACTAATGCTCTGAAGGCTGGAGCTGGGAAAAAAAAAAAAAAAAAGGAAAAAACAGAATAAAGGAAAGAATATTCCTGATAGTTTCAAAAGGTTTGGTGCAGTCTCTGTTTGTAGTCATGGTGTGTTAACACACATTGAAATGATCGTTTTGTTTATTAAACACGTGATAAAAACATGGAAATATCTAGCTGTAGCCTAGGTTGGTTGGCTGAGGATGTGCTCTGCATGAGTGGTTTTGTTTTTATTCTGAAATTATCACGTCACTTCGGGCACGTGTTAAACTTTCACACTGATTTTGGAATTGCTGTTTGTTCAGCCTCGGGATTTATTTTTTTTTGTTTTGTTTTGTTTTTATCGATGCTGCACTCTGAGAGATTTTACAAAAAAAGCATGTTATTTCCAGGATGGATTTGTTAGATTTGTTAGCTTCCCAGCAGTAATTCAGCAGGTACATTCTGTTGCATTTTTGATCTGGTTTTCCCTTCTCTCAACATAAATCTCTTTGAAGCAAAAGGTTTTTATTCTGTGTTTGTATGGATGATAAGGTGCTGGTCCTTGACTGAGTTTTCCTGTCTCATGTGTGGCACACAAATCCAAACAGCACTCTGTTTCTGGGCCAAGAAAGGGATTTTCTGGGTTCACACTGATGGCCACAGTGTGTTTGTGGTGTTACAGTTCTGTGCTGCCCATCCAGAATAATGTCATTTTCTCTCTGTCATCTTTAGGAATCTGCCTTGCTTTGCATTCTAAACCAAGTGTTTTCTTTGGGGAGCCAATTTTTTATTTTCCTTTGTTCATCTGGTTATCAAGATTTTACCAAGTAAAGGCTCCTGCAGGGAAATTCATTTTGACTTCTGGGAGTTAATGCAGTGTTTCTTAAAAAAAAAAAAAAAAAAAAAAGGTGTCTCAATGGCTGAATAGAGTGCCTGGGAACCAAATAAAGAGAATTTTAGTGCTTTAGCACTCAAGAGTTGTGATTGATACACAGAAATTCTTGATGGAAGGCAGAGTCAGCTCACCTGAGTTATAAAGTTAACCTTGCTGGGGTGGAATGTAGGGATAAAGGAGTTAGGCCTCAAATTTGCTTTGATGCCTGAAGTGCTATTAGGAATTAAATTTGTGATGGAGTGTGAAAATATTCTTGTTGGGAATAATGGATTTTTTTTTTATTCGTGAATAAACTAGTTACCTGGGAATGCAAGTTCTATGCTCTGACATTAATATTGATTAAACATATTATTTTTTAATAAGTGGAGGGGAGAAAAGCCCCACAAGCATCAGTTGGTTCTCACAAAGGATTATATACTAGTTTTGAAACAATTTTAGTGCATTCCCCGAGTGCATATTCAAGGTAGGATTTTATTGTAGACTTAAGTGTTCTGTTTTATGATTACACTGATGCCCGTGTTCCTATGTAAAAAAACATTAAAGCTGCCTTTGGGACGTTTTGTCCAAGTAGTTGAATTTTATAGCTCAATTTTAATAATCTAGTAAATGGAGAGTTGCTTCTGGTTTTTGTTTGAATCAATGGTCAGCTGGAGTATAACCTCACAGTTCTTGTACTGCCAGTCAGAGCAGGGAGCCCTGTGTGTGATAAATGTGATATTTTCTAGGAAAGAAAATTTAAAAACCAGGGGATCTGGGTGTGTGGGAGTAGCTCAATGCTGCACCAAACCATGCTGGGCTATTTTAGTATTTTTATCCTGCATATACATGCAGGTTTTTTGTTTTTTTTTTTTTCTCTCCAGAATACTTTGTGATGGGAGCTAAAGAATTTGTTCTGTTTGTTTATTTTGATGACCAAAATTTACTTTTCAGTGAAGCCACTGTTCCCACTGCCACTCCCTCCACCCTGAGCAGTGAGCAATGTTTCCTGCACAGAAGGAATTTTCAGAATCACTTCCCAGCATCTTCCTGCTTTGCCTGCCCCATTTCCCTGTGTGCCTCCTGCCCATCCTCTGGGCTGAGCTCAGTTAAACCCGGCCTGCCTTAGGCTGTGTGTGCCCCTCCCTGGCCCTGCAATTCCCTGGTTGTTGGAGGAGATGAAAATGGAAAACCTTAGAAATATGATTGCCTGGCAAAAGATTTTGAGAATATGAAAATTATAAAGGGAGATTGAAATGAAAGCCATCTTTGAGACACCAAATCTGAGTTACTGAACAACTGGAAAACAATAGTATGAAATAGCTGAAAATAATCCCCTCTGGACTGAACAATTCCCTCTGCTTGCAGACAGGTCCAAGGGTCAGAAATGACCATACCAGCTTGGTAAAGAGGGTCCAAAGAGTCGTTTTTAGGGTTTAAAGTGTCACACAGTCTGGTAATGTAATGATTCTTATAGGCTGTATGGAAATGCTGCAGGATTTGTATCTTGTATTAGATTGGTGAGTGAAAATCAGAATATTCAGCACAGAAAAAGATTGATTGTATTGTAATGGAAACCTTGCTCTCTTACTTTACTCTCTTACCACTCTTACCTGTCTGATGCTCTGACTTTTACTCTTTTACTTCTCACCTCTCACCCCCTGCCCTCCCTTTACTCCTTTTCCTCTTGCCCTCCTGCTCTCACAGCCTGCTCCAGGCAGGGCCCCTTCACCCACACCCTTGGCAATAAAACACAAATTCCACAGCCTGGCTTTAGAGATCTCTCCTATGGATTAAACCCTAATTTCCAAAGCCTGGCTTTAGAGATCTCTCCTATGGAATAAACCCTAATTTCCAAAGCCTGGCTTTAGAGATCTCTCCTATGGAATAAACCCTAGTTTCCACAGCCTGGCTTTAGAGATCTCTCCTATGGAATAAAACACAAATTCCACAGCCTGGCTTTAGAGATCTCTCCTATGGAATAAACCCTAATTTCCAAAGCCTGGCTTTAGAGATCTCTCTGTCAGTCCTGACCATCCAGACCAGCAGCTCCTACCTGTGCTGACAGGGCTGGCTGCTGTCCCATCCTCCCAGCCTGTTTTCCTTTTCCCTGCCCCTGGCTGTTGGTTTTTTGGAAGCACAGCAGCTCTGCAGCTCTGCTCTGATCTCAGGCTGTGCTGCTCTTCCCTGCCAGAATCCCTTTCCAATTAATGCACCCCCTTTTAATTGCTCTCCTGTGTCTCAGGCCAGGCTGCTGTGGGTTTTCTCAGCAGCCCTCTTCAATCACATTTCCCTGTCCTGGATGATTTTGTATCAAGTTATTCCTGTTATTGCACTTCACTTGCTTTTTCAGAGAGCTGATGAATATCTTGAGTATAATGGGTCTCGTGTTCTGCATATTCCTACCCTGCACAGACAGGGCTCAGGTTTTGTTTCATTACTGTGAGGCTTCTTTAAGAGTTCTGGATGAAGGACTTTAAAAAAAAAAAAAAAAAATCACATTTTTACAGATAACCATGTGGTTCTGATTAATATGATTCCATTACAATAAATGTGCAAGGTGAGGCTTTCCCCTGCAGAGATGATAACTAATTTTTTTCACAGTATCCTCTATACATTGAAATTTCTATTATTATATTCTTCTCTAATACCTGAGAAATGTGTTCTTCTTAATACCTGATAACCACTCCATACAGAGGCTGAAGTTGGAAAAAAAGTGGAGAAGTGAATAGCAGACAGGATCAGCTCTTGGTGTCCACACTCTCCTGACAGAAATGTCACTTTATATGCAAAGTGCAGCTCTTATGTCATACTACTCATTTATTTTCCTTATTCCCTTCGAATAATCAAATAAATACTAATGTAACCAGATGGTTTTATTGCAGTTCACTTACCAATTCTCTCAAATAAAACTTTTGTAGTGACATTGCTGTGGGACACTTTATAACTCTCTTGCCCATATAGAAATTTTTCAGTTCTCAGAAGGGGAGCTTGGTTTTTCCAAAGGGAAGAACGTGGCTGGCTGTTTCCCTGGGGTTTGCCTGTCTCGAGTTCTCTTCCTGCCTCTTCAGATCAAACTTCTTCTGCAAATTCTGAGACAATTCTGTGTGTTTGGAGCAATCCTCTGTTCAATTTTTGTGCCATATGCCAGAGGCAATTTTTCTTGGCCTGCTTCAATTGCAGCTTTACATTTTTGCTTTCCATCCTTGGGCCAGGTTCCACTTTTTGAAAGTTTTTTTGGTTTTTTTTTTTTTTGGTTTTTTGTTTTTTGGGGGTTTTTTTTGTGGATTTTATTTAGTGGCTCTTGTGTTTTTAAAGATCGTGACTGGGTAAGAGCTGGCTGCTGTGATTTTTTTTTTTTTATTTTTCACATCCTGGTGTTGTGGAATTTCTCAGAGGAGACTGAGGAGCTCAGCCTCTGAGTGAGAGGTGATGCTTCTCTGATGCAAAGACTATAAAATACAGAATATATAAACAGCATTTGTTAAAGATTAACTAAACTGAATGTGAACATAAAGGTTAGGATTATTCCAGAAGGAAATCTGTCATTAATATTGCCCTGCTTTAGGTGCAGAGATTATTCAGGCTGTTTAAAGGTGGCATTTTCAGTCTTTTTCAGGCTCTCAGTATTATTCCTTCCTCTTTGCACACTTGCTCCAAGAACACACTTGATGTCCATTCTGACATTTTACTTTGGCATCAGTTTAGAAGTGGATTAAGAGGACAAAAAAGCAGTGTTGGAGTGGGATGTGCAATAAAATGTAATGGGAAACAAATGAGGATGGGTTGGGAAAAGTGGGGATGTCAGGGGTAAAGAGAATTGCAATATTTGCTGTTTTCATCCTTCCTGTGGGGAAAAAAAAACAAAAAAACCAAAAAAACCCCCATGCTTGGCTTCATTGGGTAACTGTGCTTTCAACCACTTAGTGTATATATATCTAAAGGGGAGGGGAAGTGTCAAAATATTTTTAAATGTTGCTTTTTATGTGCTTGAAATGATTGAATGTAGGGGAGGGAATGGAAATAGTTCATTGCATTATGGAAGTGTTGACTTCTGTGTCCAAACCAATGCAGGGAACATATTGAAAGTGCAGTTAAAAATCTGCTTATCCTCTTCTTCCTGTTAACAAAAACATTTGGATGTTTTTTGCCAATCATATCAGACACTTGAAATCATCAGAGTATAGATGGAAAATCTCCTAAAGAATCTGTAATTCACTGACTGGTAAAAACATTTGCCTTTATGGAAGAATTCCATAATACCTGTGCTGGGAATATTAAATATTGTGGCACTTTTCTAATGAAATCTCCAACTCCCTGCATTTTTGGGCTGTAAAATCTGCTGGAAGTGACCACCAAATCCTTCTGTGTCTTGAAGGCACAGGTCACTGGTGGGTTATGAGTGTGATTCAATCAAAGCATTGATTCAGAAGAAGAAAGAGTGATTGTGTGATGATAAAAGATTTCAAAGGTAGAATAATTCTGTTATGGCCAGGAACAGAAATTTGTGTTAAATCCATTCTTGCTCTCTTTCTTTCTCCCTTCTTTCTATCCCAGCCCTGAGTAGACAGCCCAGAGGAAAGAAAGAAATATTTTTCACCAGGAAATTTCATTATTTTTATTTTCCACGCTCTGAAGGCGAATTCTGTTCTTTGTATTAAAAAATTTATATCAAGAATTCAGGGAGATAAACCACAGCTGTCCTTTCTCAGCATCTTTGAAAATTGAGGTGAAATCTAAAGAAACAAATGTGAAACTGGGTTTTTTTGAAGAAATTTGTGTCTTTTACTACTGGAAGGCTTTTGCTGAGGATAAAACCCATTTCTGTGGCAGCAACCTTGCTGCTCTTGCTGTTCAAGCCAGGAAGAACATTTGAGGCTCATTTAAATAAATTTAGACTTGTCTGACATTATGAGCTTCATTTTTTGGGGACAAGCTAAATATTTGGATTTAGTTTTTAGTAAATATTTTTGGGATTTCGTTTTTATTTGGCGGGGTATTGTTATTTTTTTTTTTATTTTTTTTTTTTAAGTTGCATTTGTGTGTTAGCTTACCCTGCAGATCAAATTGCTTTTCACATGTTTCTGTGAATAAGCTGTGCATGTTCCACATTAAAATATTAATGCAGGGCATGTTTGACTCCTTGGCACAAAAATAAGATTTTCCAGGTGAAGTGAGCCAAGTGCAGCAGTGCCAAAGGGGATTGGTTTATGTGTAATTATTCTCAGATGCACTTCATCCAATTAATAATTACATTGTACTTACCATGGTGAATCAAACCTGCTCTTCCAACTATTTAGGTTATGCATGTCTGAATCATTTAAATATGGGTTGTTCTGGGATGCTGGTAGGAATTCTGGGGAAGGAAGTTGGCATCTAAATAGAATTTCTTAATGGTTTCAAGAGTGAAGAGCAATTTGGGGATGGTTGTGTTCATCCACAAACTGGCACCAGTGTTCTGTACACGGTTCAAAAGGGGAAAGCTGTGAGGGGAGCCCAGTGGAGCATCTTTGTGCTTCCAAATTCTAAAATTTGTATGAAATATTTGAGGGTTAATGCTGCTTGTGAGTTAATAAAATCAAAAGCTTTGGAGAAAATGCATGTTCCAGGCAAGCATGAATGCTCCTGTGTTGGAGTATCTCTTCCCAAGGCTTAAAAAGAGCACAAATGCTTGATTTTGTCTTGAAAATAAAACTGGAGGGTTTAAAAATTGATACCCAGGAGGAATAAATGTGATAATCATCAAAGGTAACTTGTGTCTCCACACTCAGCAGGAAATTGAAATGCCTGTCAGTCAGCTTGCACAAGTCATTCCACAAGCACACAAAAATCTGAGAGTTTGTGTAAAGAGATTAAAAAGAAAAGGAATCAAGTGAAGTGCCACAGTGCCACAGCAAAAAATCAAAATAGCCCGTGTGAAAGGAAACCCAGGCAGCTTGAAGTTGTTGAGTACATTCATTTTTGTACATTCAGGACATTCTTTATCCCGTTTGAAATGTGGTGCTGTAATTTTGGTTGGTGATACAATAAAGGCACTGAAATATCTCTGTATGTGTGCAGTTCAGATCCTGCCGTTTCTAACAAGATTTTGGCAGCATTTTTTACCTGAATATTCCTCTTTGGATGATTCTTATTTCCATGGGTTGGCTGTGGAGTATTAGATTATTGCTGGTGGAGATTTGGGGGTTTTTTTGCCTCCCATTGTAAAGCCTGAAGGAAATGACAATTCTAAAATCTGGGAGCAGATTAGTAAAGGATTTTTGTGAATATTAACCTATCACAAGCTATTGAAAAGAAACAAAAAAAAAACCCCAAACAAACAAAACCAACACAGAAAACAAAGCAACAAAAAGCCAACAACAAACCCTGCAACTCCTACATTTAACAGAAATTCTTTAGTAATACACTGAGTAAAACTAACCAGAGCAAAAACTTGATTTCAGAATATGTATTTTGCCTTAAATACATTTACTAGGAACAGTTGTCCTAAAACTTAGAGAATTAACTTTTTTAATGCTGTTCATAGATTGTTTTGGTGCAATAAGAACACTGTATCATATTTGGGGTAATTTAATCTTTAAAAAGTAGCACAAGTGTGAACACACCTTGTATCAGAGAGAGGAATTAGGTTTTAGCACATTAATTGAAATTTCCTTTTTGGAAAAGCACTTTTTTTCTTTGTCTGTCAAACTTTCTGTTCTTAACAAATTGCTGAATTTCAGGCTCTGGCTTTTTTTGGGTGTTGAGTTTTGAATGGGGGTTGTGTTTTGTTGGTTTGCTTTACCCCTGCTGATGGATTATTGAAAACAGGGGAGGGTGGGAGTGAATCCCCAAACACTGCTGGGCAATCCTGCACATCCCAGCATTGAATTCCTGCAGGTTTGAGCCTCAGGAGTGCCCTGGAGAGGAGAGAAGAGAAGAGAAGAGAAGAGAAGAGAAGAGAAGAGAAGAGAAGAGAAGAGAAGAGAAGAGAAGAGAAGAGAGAAAAGAAGAGAAATGAAGAGAAAAGAAATGAAGAGAAGAGAAATGAAGAGAAGAGAAAAGAGAAAAGAAATGAAGAGAAGAAAAGAGAAAAGAGAAAAGAAATGGAGAGAAGAGAAAAGAGAAATGAAGAGAAAAGAGAGAAGAGAAATAAGAAGAGAAAAGAAATGAGAAGAGAAAAGAAATGAAGAAAAAAGAGAAAAGAGAAGAGAAAAGAAGAGAAAAGCCATTAATACTCAATTAATAGCTGGGCTGTTAATTCACACTAATATCTCATGAACCCTTGCAGGTAGAAGTTTTGGCAGATGTCAGCACTGTCACACAAACTTTGCTGAGGAATTGGAACCAATTCTGGATTTTCTGTCACACAAACTTTGCTGAGGAATTGGAACCAATTCTGGATTTTCTGTCACACAAACTTTGCTGAGGAATTGGAACCAATTCTGGATTTTCTGTCACACAAACTTTGCTGAGGAATTGGAACCAATTCTGGATTTTCTGTCACACAAACTTTGCTGAGGATTTGGAACCAATTCTGGATTTTCTCCAGTGGCAGGATATTGCAGAGCTATTGATTTTTATATTTTGATATTAATTTTTTTTGGGGGGGGGGGTATTTGTTTTTTGGGGTTTTTTTTAATTTTTGTTTTGTTTCTTCTGGTATTTTGTGTTTGGTTGGGGTTTTTTTGTTTTTTTTTTTTGTGTTTTATTTGGGTTTTTTTGTTTGTTTGTTTGTTTTTGTTGTTGTTTATTTGTTTGGGTTTTTTTAAGATGGAGGAATTCATGTGATAAAACCACTAAACCTCCCTTGTCTGGAGATGCTTTCCTGTGAATTTTGTAGCTCAGGCTGGTGCAGAGTTCTGTGGGTCACACAAACACGGGAGATTTTTGTCTACAAAAAAATCACTGAAATATAAAAACTGCCCCTTGCAGTCCCAAACTTTATTCACAATTATTTTATTACACAAAAACTTTTTGTGTGTAAAGCAGTGTAGTCGACAGAGCTGCTGTGGGGCAGAGAAATTGTGGAATAATCTCATTTTTAGATTGTGCCCATTTATGCTGTTTGCACACTCAGGAAATTGTACAAATTTCTGTTTTCCAAATTCTTATTATTGAAAGGAATTCAGTCTTTTTATATCATTTTCAGTTAAGACCAAAACCAGTTTGTCATCTTTTCTTATTTGAATTTATGCAATTGTTCAGGGTTTTTTTTTGGTTTTTTGGTTTTTGTTTTTTTTTTTTTTTTGTGAATTTTAAAGAAGTTGGTTTTGAAATCTTGGGTCCCAAATGGTTTAAAAGGTGCAGAATCAGCAGTAATTTCAGAACACAGCAAATCTGGATTTATTTTTCTCATCTCCTCAGCAGAGGATTAAAGTGATCCTGTCCTCATGTCACAATCAATGTAGAATAAAACATTTGATCTTTATTTCTTTTCTTTTTCTGGTTTTCAAGTAGGATGTCAAATCTTTTTTTTTTTTTTTTTTTAATTGAATTTTGGATGCTGCTTTGTGACTGTTTGTATTTCACTTTCTGTCTTTATATTTCTAAGTAAAACCTCAGCCTTAAGAAAAACCCATCAGAGGCTGCTTGAAAGAAAAAATAAACTGTGAATGAATTTCCTGTGGTTTTCACACACACTGCCTGTCTTGCTCATTAATTTTTTTATTTTATTTTAGGACTAACTGGGTTTTTGTAATTTGGTAATACACCATTCATTTTACCTCTCAAACTTCCTGTGATTTTTCTTTTTCTTTTTTTTTTTATTTTTATTTTATTTCTTTGGATAAAAATGAGCTTTTTGCTTCTAGGAAATCCAGACCCCCCAATATTTATTTTTCTATTCTCAGAGGTGCTGTAAATCCCCATAAATGCATGTCAGTGTTCAAAATATTCCTGGTGTGTGCTACCTTAAAAAAAATTTGAACTGGAGGATTTAAAACTGAAGAGACTTTTATTATTCCTGTAAATCCACCTGAATTGTTGATTTTCTTGTGGTTTTGCTTGTAGTTGATTTTCCTGTGAATCATCTTCGAATGGGATCCTGAGAATAAATTGTTTACTTTGTGAAAGACGTGAAATATTGGAGTGATAATGAAACTTTGTCCCTGGGCTGTTGTCCTGAAAACAAAAATCGATTAAAAAAAAACCATTTCAAGTGTTGTTCTCTCCAGTTTTTATTGGTGCATGTGGGATTTTTCCCATTGAGGAGTGCATAAAGCTCATTATATCAGTTACAGCTATTTTAACACAGGGGAAAGGCAGGATATGATGATTTTCATCTGTGCTGGTGTTTTTATTGGGTGTATTTATTTTTTATTCATTTGTCAGTGTGCTCAGATTGTTGGTTTTTTTTTTGATTTGCTGTATTTATATTTATTTTTTTATTTCTTTGTCAGTGTGCTCAGGTTGCTGGTGTTTTTATTGGGTGTATTTATATTTTATTTATTTGTCAGTGTGCTCACATTGCTGGTGTTTTTATTGGGTGTATTTATATTTTATTTATTTGTCAGTGTGCTCAGGTTGCTGGTGTTTTTGATTTGGTGTATTTATATTTTATTTATTTGTCAGTGTGCTCACATTGCTGGTGTTTTTATTGGGTGTATTTATATTTTATTTATTTGTCAGTGTGCTCAGATTGTTGGGTTTTTTGATTTGCTGTATTTCTTTTTTATTTCTTTGTCAGTCAGTGTGCTCAGATTGCTGGTGTTTTGATTTGGTACATTTATTTTTTATTATTTTTTTAAATTAAATAATTATTATTAAATAATAAATAATAATAAATAATATCCCTGTTTCTGCCTGTAACAGCCCCTCCAAGGTCTCCTATCAATCATAGGTGGGAATTTGGAATTACAGCCCCGTTTTTTGGGGGAAGTTCAGTGCAGATGAGCTGTGGCTCGTTCAGATTTTAATTTTCCTGTTCGTGGTTTCCTCCTCTCTCAGTGAGGATTGTTCTGCTCTGAAGTGAAAGGTAAATCTGGGCCACAGCTGGGTGGGTCAGGAAAAGGTGAATTTTTTTCTGCCTTGGTGAGAAGGGGAAGGAGCCAGGGGAATAGGGAAAAAAAACCAAAACAAACAAAAAAATAACAACAAAAAACAAACCCAAAACAACAACAACAATAACAAAAAAACAAACCCAAAAAACAATAACCAAAAAAACCCAAGAAACCAAAACAACCAAAAAAACCAAAACAAGGAAAAAAAAAAACCAAAAAAACCCAAAAACCCCAAAAAACACCCCAAACCCCCCAACAAAAACAAAAAGAAACAACAACAACCAAAAAAACCTACAAAAACATCCCTGACCCCACACCAACTCTTTTATTTATTTTTATTTATTTATTTATTTATTTTAATTATTAGGTTCTAGGGTTTGGTTTTTTGTGGGTTTTTTTTCTATTTTGGGTGTTTTGGGGTTTTTTTGGGGTTTTTTGTGGTTTTTTGTTTGTTTTTTGGGGTTTTTTTGTTGAAAAGCTTTCTGCTTCTGGAGTTTGGAAGGTGATCTGTGTTAGGTTGGGGACATGATCCTGTCTCTTCCCTTTTCACTCTCTAAACATTTCCAAGTGATTCCTCAGAGCCTGCAATGTATTTTTTTTTGACTTTGGGGTTTTCATTGAGCTTTGTGTTCCTTTTTCCATTCGAGCACTTGGAGAATTTTTCTTTGATTCAAAAAACTTCCTTTGCTATTAATTGATGCATTTTGCTTTAATTAATTCTGAGTCTTACTCCCATTTTCCCTTGCAATAACTTTGCATTTTCTCTAATTCAGAGAAATTTTTCCTCCACCTTTCCACTGCAAGCGTTTTTTCAGTTTGATTTTCGCACATTGAGATTTTTTGGGATGCTGAGCTTGGTCACTTGGATTCAGCCCGTGCTCATCGTGCTCCTTCAGGGCTGTCAGGGTTGTGTGAGCAGTCAGTTTTTAATTCATTAGATTTGTTTTTATAAGCTGTTAATTTTGCAGCAGGGTGCTGTTCCTGGGGAAAGGAGCAGCTTGGTGAGTTCAGGAGTTTGAGAAGGCAAAGAGCTTTGGCTCAGTGCAGAATTGCTCAGAGAGGAGAGCTGAGATGTTTTCCAGGTGGGATTGCAGCACTTGGAACTCTGCTTTTTTTATCAGTTCATAAAAAAAGGGATTTGTGCTTTTTATCTTCAATAAAGATTTGGAAACGGGTGCAGGACTTGCAGCACAAAAGAGCTGCTGAGCTTCGGTGTTTGTTACACACAAACTCCAGTTTGATGGGTTTCACTTCTGTGCTGCAACAAAACCTGAAAAATATTCTGTGCAGCTTTGGTTGAGTGCAAGGATGTGTTCTCAGCTGGCAACAGCAGCCGTGGTGCCCTAAAAACATTTCCTTGGCCTTGGAACAACATTTTGTAGAAAAATTTAACTGCATTGGGCATTAAGGATTGTTCAGATTGGATTCCTGAGGTTGTCAGCCTTGCAGCAGAAGTGGATTATTCAAAAATTATTCCTGTATGGAATCATTCACTGGGTTCCTTTTAATGGCAATTCTGGGAATAAACATAAAAAGGAATGCCATTAACAGGTTGAGTTTTTGGAACAGTAGAATTTGGAGCTGAGCAGGCTCAGTTCTGTGTCTGGGGGTGTTGTTCTCTTGCCCCTCCTGAATGTGTTCCTAAATCCAGTGAGAGTTTTTGAGGGAGCAGAGGGTGAAGGGGAATTGTGTCTGCCCTGAGGATGGGCACAGCTTTGGGACAGGCACCTTGTATTTATGGACAGCTTCAGGCCTGGAATATAAATGGATTTATTGAAATTTGGGGAACAGCCCTGGCAGTGTGGGCAGCAGAGCACTTGGGGATTTCTGGCCCATTGTCTGATACAGTTTCCAATTCAATCATTATGGTTATTTGTTAAAGACCAACATGCAGCCTGCTTTTATAAGCTGTGAACAGCAGATATCAACCTTCTTTTTTCATTTCTCCTATTCCAGAGTGTGAGCACAAACTGTTGCATCTTGAGCACAAAACAAAAAATGAAATGACAATGCTCAGTTGTCAATTCAGTCTAATTGTGAGCATTTGAAGAGTGAAGGAATATAATTAATCAGACTTGTCAGGAGATTGCAATAAATTAGGAATAAAATCCAAGGCATTTGTCAGCTGATGTGCTGAATGTACTTTGTGGGTCCTTTGGTTCTGCTTTCCCCATGAGAAAGAGTCAACATCCATTTAATTTCCCTCAATATTGAAGACATTAGGGGATGGGTTAACAGGGAAAACATGAGAAAAG